GAAAATATTTAAATATTCTTAAAAGGGGAAGTTGTTACCTGACCATTTCTCCTGCTGTGCTAATAATGTCATTACATACAGACATGGTCTAAAAGCAGCACCTTGTGTAAACAGTGCGTGGAGAACAATCTCTTTCATAGAAACGATTCGAAACTCACACACAAAATCTATTGAACACTGCATTCCACTGATTTCGTCGTTTATTGAAAAGATGACCAATTAACAGCTTTTATGAATGATTTAGGATCTAGAGTAGTAGAAATTACCTTCTGAAACCTTAACGTTGATCATTGTACAAGTTGTGTACGAGCACAAACCTACTGCACTAAAAATATCATAGTATTATTGGTCATCCAGATCATCAGGTGTGGGAGAGCAGCTAGAAATTACCTTCTGAAACCTTAACGTTGATGATTGTACAAGTTGTGTACGAGCACAAACCTACTGCACTAATAATATCATAGTACTATTGGACATCAAGATCATCAGGTGTGGGAGAGCACTGCCTAGAAATTACCTTCTGAAACCTTAACGTTGATGATTGTACAAGTTGTGTACGAGTACAAACCTACTCAGTGCACTAATAATATTATAGTATTATTGGACATCAAGATCATCAGGTGTGGGAGAGCACTGCCTAGAAATTACCTTCTGAAACCTTAACGTTGATGATTGTACAAATTGTGTACCAGCACAAACCTACTGCACTAATAATATCATAGTACTATTGGTCATCAAGATCATCAGGTGCGGGAGAGCACTGTCTAGAAATTACCTTCTGAAAACTTAACGTTGTTCATTGTACAGGTTGTATACTAATGGAACACAAACCTACTTGCTAAGAAGATCTAGCGGAGTAATAAATCCTGTTTATATTATCCGATAGTAATCGTGTAAGATCAGGAAGCAATAAACGTGCACCTATTTGCTTTTAACGTTCTTAATCCTGCTGTGCGCCGTCTATCGTTGGGTCGGGCAAGAAATTCAAAGGAGCCACCAAAAATTGGAAACACGTAGAGTCGCCTGCAGCTCGGCGTTATTGTCTAACGTTGGTCATTGAACAATTCCGTGTACGATCGGCAAATCTATTGGAACAGAAAAAGGTAAAATATCTTTGAAAATGATCATTGATGGTAATTTCACTTGCCCAATAGGATACCCTCGTTTTCCCCCTCTCTTTTTCGATACGGCTACAGGAGACGAGCAGTCTTTATAGATCGATCACGAATTGAGCTTATGATATAACATATAAATGATGAATTCATAATGACATAATATCCATAATAATATATCATTAATATCATTTCTTTTTGTCCACGTCATCCGGAAACAACAGACCATTTATTCATTGAGTGCGTTGAATCAAAAAACCTATATTTTCAGAAAAGAGACTGGTTAGAAAAATATGACATTCATTTGCCACAATCTAATAAAAAAAACATATTATTATGGGTGGATGACATCCCAATAAACCTTGTTATTTTAATTTACAAACTAGTTCTGTATAAGGGAAGAGAGGGAATGAAAGTTCCTTCTCTTTCCTTGTTTCAAAACGTGTTATCAAATTACGGAAATATTGAACATAAACTTGCCAGAGCAAAAAATAAGGAAGAGCAACATCTTAAGAAGTGGGAAAAAATAACGATGGAAAATTATAAAAAGTACAATATATACACAAAAAAATTATATCTGTGCTTTCTAAATCATTTTTTGATACATAAGCTTAAAATAGGCATTGCATTTTTGTTCTTTGTTTTTTTTCCCTTTAGTTGTATTAGTTGTATTGAGTTGTGCTTTATCACTTGCCGTAGTTTGTGGTACTGTATTATTTCTAGTAGTTTGTTGTATTGTATATATAAAAACTTTATAATAGGAAATATATATATTACTCTATTTTGTAAGTAATTTGCAAGTAAAATTTATTTTTAAAAAAATCATTAATAATATAATTTGTAATTATTTCCCAGACACCGTCAAGGATTCACTATGAACCTGAACAATTCATCCCATGCTAATGAAACACTGCGATGGACATCAGGACTAGCAGCTCATACTAAAATAACCCTGTGGTGTATTCTACTTGTCTGGTCTCTACTTGCTAACCTACTCGTCATCGCTGTCGTGT